GTCTAGTTTGCAATATTTGTTATCTCTTTTATATATACATGTTAGTAGTCTTCTATTTCAACTCTTGGAACTTCCAAGATTAATTTGCACAATAACTTGCATGCTTCCTTCCCTGCTACTCCCTCATCAGCTAGGTTAAAACCTAGACTGTTTTTCGTTTCTGTATTCCTTTCCAGAGATCCGCTGCTGTAAGAAAAGGGCGTCTTCCATTAGATTCGCAAGATATTCAGTGATGAATTATTTCGGAGCATAACTGAAAAGCCAGAAGCAAGATGCAATAACATCTTCTAACGACTGCGCTGCTTTCCCATCATGCACACTGAGTGACCCCCACTTCTGTCCATTCCCGTCCAACGATCTGCAGGCCGCCTCTTGTTATTTTACCCACTGCTTGTCGTGTTTCCAATCATCCCACCATTCATCCGGTATAACAATTCTTGTTTGTCGTCCTACTTCCACCGACTTGCTCTCTTAGAGCATTCCGCCATCCTCAACTTTTCCTTATCTGATACCTAGTTCACTTTGGTTTCATTTGTAATTATGTTCACTAAGACCTTCAGTTTTTTTCCTCTTGGGCCTCTCCTGTACGGAGGATTATGTTGTACATTTGATCATGCCTATGCATGCCTCACGGGGCTCCGTGAAATATACACTTATTATTATTATTATATAAAGACAGGACTTCCACTTACGGATAGGTTTACGCCTTTGGTTCCGTTAGGAAAGAAGCAACGGTCTCCCTGGTGGAAAGCAAATATAAATAGGGCTATAATCATTCGTAGAAGACGGTGGGCGGTCTACAAACTGTATGGCACCCATCAGTCGTGAAATGGCTACAAACAAGCACGCAACTATGCACGGAAAGTGCAAAGAGAGGCCAAATACCAATTTGAGAGAAACATGGCGCAAAACGTCAAGCGAAATCCGAAGTGTTTTTACGCTTATGTTCAATCTAAGCGCAACACTCGGGAAACGGTTGGTACTCTGGAATCGTCGACCGGGAAGTCAGCAGTGAGTGAAGGGGACAGAGCACGCATTCTGTTAGAGTTCTTCAAAAGCACGTACAGGATACCCAGGGTGACAGATAACCTGCCATCAGTTGATGATGACTGCACGATGCCCCCAATCATTGTGGGAACGCATGATGTGCAGCGGGAGTTGGCGGGGCCGAATAGGTTCAAGGCGGCGGGACCCGACGGAATTCACCCAGCGATTGTGCAACCGCTGGCTGACGTCATAGCAGGGCCGATCTTAGAGTTATTTAAAGAGTCGCTTAGACTGGGATCTGTTCCGAACGACTGGCGCAAAGCTACAGTAGTGGCAATACACAAGTCTGGATCCCGGCAAAAAGCCGAGAAGTTTGACAGCAGTAATATGTAAGTGTTTACAGCGCCTACTTAGAAGGCAAATATTCCTCTATATGGTTATTAACGGGCTGTTGGTATCAGCTCAGCACGGATTTCTGGAAGTCTTGAAGTAGTACTCGGGTTCGAGGCTTGCGCCCAATATTCCCTGTTTCGAATTTGTCTTCTTTTCTGGAAAAGAGATCTTGTCTGACAAATTTGCTGGTGTTCCTAGATGAGGTCACACGTAGAATTGATGAAGGCCTACCAGTGGAAGTATGCTATCTGGACTTCCAGAAGACATTGGACTTGGTCAGCCACCAGCTGTTAGATCATAAGATGCAATTATTGGGAGTAGATGGGCAATTCAGGAGCCGGATAATTGGCTTTCTTGCACAGAGGACGTTTAGTGTCAAAGTAGGAGTTAACACATCCGAGGAGGAAGTGATCACAAGCGACGTACCACAAGGATCCGTAATTGGACCACTGCTGTTCCTGCTATACATTAACGACCTTGCACGGGATCTCCAAAATCCCTGTTTTCGGTTTGCAGATGACGTCAAGATACCCTAGCAAGGGACATAAAGGTAGTACAAAGATTGGCCGAGAAATGGGACCTGTCACCAAATGTCTCTAAATGTCAGATACTGACGTCCAGAAATCACGAAGTGACAGCAAGGAGCCTGTCGATGCAAAGGGTGCACGAGGCAAAGAATCTAAGCATTGTTGTCATGCGGGATTTTAAACCCAGTACCCACTGTGTGAAGGCCCAAAACAAAGCCAGAGGACACTTGTTTCGTCTATGCTCAACGATGACATGCAGAAAACCAGAGGTCTTTGTTCCTCTGTACAAAAGCATAGTCCGTCTGCATCCGGAATAGTGTGGAGGCTTTGACTCCGTTCTTCCGGAAGGACCTCGGTACCATAGAGAGGGTTCAACGTCTAGCCACGAGAATGATAGCTGGGCAACGGGGGAAGAGCTATGAACAGGTATGAACGGCTCAGAGATTTAAATCTGTTCTCCCTCATACAGAGGTGGATGAGATGAGACCTAATCAAGACATTCAAGATAGTCAAGGGTATGTCATGTCTTAGGTTTGACGACCTGTTCTCCTGGGTCCCGCATAGAGGCACGCGGGGACATTACTTACGATTGCAAAGAAGCCACTCTAGGCCACAACTGAGAGCAACGTTTTTCACTAACAGGGTAATTCCGTTGTGGAACCGGTTGCCACTGTCAGTGGTAAGCAGCGGTACTGTGAATGCTTTTTAAAAGGCACTTAATGAGTGTTGGATGGAGGTTTTCCCTGAGGTAAGTGTTTAGTACCATCTATAACCTAACCACAAGGGATGTGATGCTGCACCACATATTTCTGCCTTTCAGGAAAATTGCATATCGAAGTGTTGGAAGCCGAGGAAACTCGCCGACAGCACACAAATCTGGACGCTCGATTGGCAAGAGCCACAATTCGTCCTGTGAGAACTGAACTGAACTGAAACTGAACTGAACGACTCCCAGTCACTTCCTGCATCCCCTTTCTGTACCCATTTGTTTAATTCATCATCACTGCTTTACATCACGCACCACGCACAATTACCAGCCCCCGGGCTGCTCTCATGGCATGAGTAGCATTTCGCTGAGGTGCGGCGCCTGTCAAATGATTAAGACTGCTGAATAACCCGAGGGCGATCCTGCTCTTCATCTCTTCTCTTGTAGGTACAACATCCATCATACAACTGTGGAACTATCTGGCAGTCAAAGCTCACAAGTGCAAGAACCTGGACGTTCACCGGCCGAGGCCTACAGTCTTGTGACCTCACCTGACCTGAACATGTAACGTCCTCATGACCCATGTCTCTTGTTCACCGAAGAGGTGAAAGGAGACGAGCTTTTTCTTCCCCTTTCAGCAAGTACACCGTACTGAAGGCAATTCGCAGTGGTGGGTGCACACCTTGTGAGCATACTGCTGAACATACTGGTTGCTCGATTGGCCGTGGCCATTATCAGTGCTGTGCAACATGACCTGACCTGACCTCATCGAAGTATTCAAGATTAAGAAAAATTTGCTCGGTCTAGATCCTGGGTCCTTCTTCACTGAGGCCCCTCACCAAGGAACGCGTGGAAATGAGCTTCAACTGATGAAACAGCGTTCTAGGCTGAAATTACGAGCACATTTCTTTATTATTAGGGTAGTGGATAATTGGAATAAGCTACCGTCGGAACTGATCATGCAGTCAAGTATCCAAGTCTTTAAAAAGCTCTTGACGCCAGATGCTTGGAGCTATTCTCTGACATAGAATGTGAGGTGCGTAAATTGTTTTTGCGTAATGTGAAACGCTTCATCAACAAAGATCTCTCGCCGGCACGGCGAAAAGTAAAGACTCTCTTTCTCTCTGTTTGCAGGTAGAAGGAGGAACCCATCAATCGCAGAGGTGGACGCACACTTGAGGGCATACCACCGAAGGAATTCTGGCCGCGTGATTGGCCTGTGGCCACTATCAGTCTTGTGCAACCTGACCTGCACGACAGCGAACAATGGGATTACATTCTAGAGAAATCCAGTCTGACCAACGTATTAGCTGAACGAGTGAGAAGGCTACCTAGGCCCGCCCCCCTCAGCAGATTGACTTCGCCTAGGCTCATCAAAGTAGTGCTTTTTGACGAGGGCATGAAACACAACTTCCTGCAGGGGTGGCGCAGAGCCANTGGCCATGAGGGAGCTCTCTCCCACCTGTGGTGCTATTCCGGCTTTAAACATACCTCCTTTTCGGGACATTGAAAGAAGCCTTGACCTCACCCATTACTCCAAAAAGAATAAGTCGAAAAACGACTAGTATCCGGTCTTATAGAGGCCGGATCCAGTCGACCAGAGAACAGAACAGAAAAACCAGTGTTTACCTATCAAACGGAGTCAACACCATGCGTATACACCAACGCACAGA